TGTTCTTGCGAACTCTCTTCGGATGCTTCGGCGGGAGCGCTGCGACAATTCCTCCATCACTCGAGGATGCTGCCGCCGCGTGGTGGTCGTCGATTTCTTCAGAAAATACGGCATTGTTATGTGTCGGACGTTGATAGGTCTGCTTAGCCACATAGTGCGGCTGGGATTGYCTCTCGTTAGCGGCCTTGTCGTCCGTTTGGATGACCATGTTCGCTCGATCCAGAATGGCTTGGAATGTGGTATAGTCGTACTCATTACCGAGTGCCGACCGCAATCCCGCGCACGATCGCGAGAAGAAATCGGATCGTTGATTTGGAAATGTCAAATCGAAACCTGCTGTGGTCACTATCTTTTGCCACTTCGTTGTCCAGTCTCGAGTTGGCATGTTCCCTTGAGAGCATGTGTACACCTCATTCATGGCCGCCTTCACGACGTTGCGGACCATGAACCGGGTGAACCATAGCTGCTCGAACTCCTTCCACGTAATGTGCGTGTGGAGTTCGGCGATAGTGYMCTTGYRTGTAGCCGCTAGGTGGTTCATCCATCCCTGCGCTCCTCCAATCAGCTGCAGATGTATTGCCTTCAACATGTCGTCCGCCGGGACCATGCGGCATGATGCTTCCGTGAGGAAGCGTTGCCACCATGACAAAGCGTCCGACTTGTTGTAGTCGTCGAACTTGCTGATGTCGAAGTGCGGCACCTTGAACGTCTTTGTAGCGGCTTCCGGTCTCGTCTGTAGCTTGGTGAGGTCCGTCTTGATGGCGGCCACCGTGCTGCTGATCGAGTCTGGTCCAGTGAACGTACTTATGTCGCCGATGATGGTGACGACGTGATCGATGCGCTCGTTGAGTTGCTTCGTCACGTCTGTCGTGCAGCCTGGCGCTGCTGAGGCGTTAGCCTCTATGTTGTTGACGCGTGTGACAATGGAATTCAACAGTTGATGCTGTTGCTGCTGCTGCATTGCCTCTGTGCGGATAGCAGTGGTTAACGTAGTCATATCATTCTTGTATGTTTGTCGCTGCGTCACGTCTGCGCGCAGATGTGACTGCTGCAGTGTATTATTCCACATAATACCTCTCATCATGCCCAACAGCAAGTTACCCAGGTTAGTTCTCTCTGCCTC